AAAAATCAACCCAGACTGCATTTTGAAATAGACACAATGTAGAGCTGCCAATCAGTACAGGGCTCATTTACATATCTGTCTTAAAGGCAAAGTAACAAAACCAGCAGAATTCTAAGACGCAGTCGATCAGCCAGGACAAGTTTGTTGTGAGAAGGGAAATTACGTTCGTTTTTTAGTGCGCATTTGATTTTTTGGTGAAACATTCCTTCAGTCGTCCATTGGAAAGTTGATTAGGGAACCAAAGTGGTGGTCCTGTGAGAGTCATTAGGGGTCTTGTTTGTTTGTGTTGAAGTTGCAGTATCGGGTGGCCCATTGTCTGTCTGAATGTACTGATCTGGTTGTTTTTTTCTGTGATATACATCTCAGTGAGGGAAAACAGCAGTGTAGTGCGGTGTTGGGTAGGGGGTAATTATGGGATGCTTTAAAAGCGGCTCCCCTGCGGTGGAGCTGCAAGGCGGATTCCGGCTGCTGTGTTTGGAAGCTGACGTGTCTGTAATGTGACTGCGTTCTTCTCCCATGTGGATAGAGGGATGAGCGCGAAAGAGAGAGGGGGAGGGGGAGGGGAAGGACGAGGGCGGGGGTTAACAAGGCCGCTTGCAGGCAGTGTGTCATGGTTGACATGGGCGTTTGACCTTGCTGCGGGCTCTCCTCTATTCACCCAGCACCGCTGCTCTGAATTACCAGCCCTGCTGCGCGCGAGGACGTCCGTGTTTGTTTTCTTATGTATATTAAGGAGGCGTGTTCATCTCTGACCCGAGAATAACTCCGTTTGTTTCGTGAAAAATGAAAAATGCTTCATGAAATCTTAGATATTACAATTCACCTATTTTAGTGTGAATAAAAATGCCCTGGATTTGAATGAATCAACTCTGTGCGCAGTAACAGACACAATAAAGAAATCACATTTTGTTAAATTATTATTATTATTATTACATTTTAATCTTGAAAATAGCTGGAGATTTCTGTTTCAAACAAAAAAATGCATACTTTATTTCACATTATTCTAATCAGTTATTGTTGAGGGTATTTTACAGTTCCTGGTCAGATTGAGCATGATTCGTCATACTGTTTAAAGACTAAGTTCTTGTTTTCTCTTACTCTTCCTTCGTAATATGACTTCTGCCCCACCACTCTGGCTTTCTGAGTTGTAACCAAAACAAGTGTAGATGACGGCCATGGTTGGCTGCACTGGTGTGGCTGGTGCGTGCAGCTGGACTCAGCCAAGCAGCTGACCTAGCAGTTAGCAAGCTGGATAACTCACCAACCATGAACAGTAAAAACCTTACGTGTTTATTTATAGCCATTGGGATAAAATATGTTTAACGAATCATGCTTATATAAGGTTAAATTAGCTTCAGCTCTCTATGAAGCCCTCTCGCTTCGTAGGTCGACAGAGCCAACGCTGCTGGCCAAGGACATGGATTTGTGTGTTAGACTTTGTCAAAGTTTTCTACAGCCTGTGTGTTTGATGTATGCATGTGTTTTCATTGCCTCATAGAGCGATCAGCACATATTAAAAAAATAAAAAAGCATACTGTATGGAGTAGAGCTGAGTGATTCATTGTTTTTATATCAATTTTTAGCTGCAAATTTTTATTAGCCTACATTAACAACGCCATCCTAAGCAATATTCGGGATGTTATAGACGTTGGGAGGTGGGGTAACGTAATTTTACCGCAGAATGACTAATGTTTATGACTAAATCGCCCGGAATAAGACTTGTCAATATAAATGACAGGGAGGGGAGCAGCTACTCGATTTATGCACCTCCTTCACTCCAGAAAAGAGAACAAAACATGCAAAAAAATGTGTTTTATTTAGTCATTATTCTGTTTACCGTCGTCTTGCTGCCATAAGTGAATGCGCTCTGTTATTAGCATTGTCATTAGCTTGGGAATTTAAATCACAACATAAATCAGACTTTTTTTCCATGATTTTTACATTTTAATGTTCTGAGTCATAAACCTGTGGAAGACGGCGCACGTTTGCTTGGTTTTAGCCACAGAGAACCCAAGTAAAAGCTGCTTCGAGTGCCTCAACTCCTTTTTTACACCTTGAGATTATTTCAGCGCCTCATTTTAAAGAAGGTGAAAGATGCTGGAGTCTTTACTAACGTGGGAGTACACTGTCTGTAAATACTTCTGATGGGACTCAAATCTCTGAGAAGCACTGGTGACACTGACGTTACTCCTCCTCCTGTAAAACTAATCCTGTGTAGATAAGGGTCCAAGTTTATGTGGGGAGATTTAACCTTTAACACCCAGTTTGTCTGTATGAGTTCATCAACTGGCAGTCTGGCATACAGCTTTTTAACCCTCAGGTCAGAAAAAGCAGATATGGTGATCTTTATGGCCAAAAATCAGGTGTGGTCACTTGGCTAAAACATCTTAAGTGCATTTTTGGCCTTTTTGTCCTTTAGCTTAAGTGGAAGATGTTAAAGTGGAAAAAAAGCACTTAAGATGTTTCATGCAAGCGGCCACTGGACCTTAAAAAAGATGGTTCTTCAAGGGTTCTTTAGTAAAGAAAATTGGTTCTGTATAGAATCATGAACACTCAAAGAACCCTTTGCATGATTAAAGGGTTCTTTGCATGTGAAAGGGTTCTTCAGATTGAT